GGAAGAGTCAGCAAAGGTCCAAGTAGGTCAAGTTAATAAACAAATTGACAATTGTAAGCATTTAAGCAGCAGGAACTCAGGCTTTTTTTTTTTTTTTTTTTTTTCCCCCTGCAGAAAAAAGTAACATTTCTCCACATTCCAGACACTATCATGAGAGTGAGTTAAGGGCTTCCCTACTTTATAGATAATTATCAGAATCCCCAAGAGACTAGTTCTATACATCAGTTTACTGTAATATCTCAGTGCCCAGGCACTTTTCCTTTTTCCCTCCAATATTGTCATTCATATTGACTTGCTATGGCTGCACATATGCTTAAAAGAAGTCATTCACTGTTTTAACATTATGTCGCTCCTGAAATACTTTTATATTTTATAATTATTATCTACTCAGCAAAAAGTGCCATTGGAAGCTTTCATTTAGAAATCCAAGTCTGTTTTTAAGCACTCATTAAGGTATTTTATTTTCTAAAGCATTAGGTACTTGTAGGTCCTACTGATGTTAAAGCAGCAATATCACCATCTAGGGCCTGCTGTATGGCTGTCCTACCTGCAACTCTTACAGAACAACCTCTAGGCTACTCAGCTGAACACCAACACGTAGCGAGATGGCCTCTTCTTCTATTAGACTTCATCAAGAAGGATCTTCCTGTCCCCTCACTCTTGACACCCCAAACACTCTTTCCCATGGACTTGCACAGATCCAACTAAGCTTACTCCCAGTGCATATCAAACTACTGAATAGAGAGGTACAAATGGAAAAGAGATTGATACTAGGGAATGGTGTTGAAAATAGAATCACAGGACAGAATCTGGAGACTACACACCAGCTGATATATTTGCATGCTTTAAAATCCCAACATCTAAGTCTAATGGTATTGGCAGTGCCTAAGCTACCAGCCTGCTGCATGAATTACACTCCAACTGTTGTGAAGCTGACCTTGGAATTAGCACAAGATAGCCTCTAAAGATCATTTCTCAAGTAACTTCCTGAACAGAGTACGACGAGGATCATTCCAGTTCTCCAGAAACCTAACTTCAAATGATTTCAGAAATTTATTAAATTCTTCTGAGAGTCAGTGACATGTTTTTAAGATTACATCACTCCTATGTCAGAAGAGTCAGACTTCAAGTCAATGATAATGTTTCTCGCTGGATCCTACCTAGTATGTTCCAGCATACTGCTGCTTGCTCTAAAACAGCACAGCAGGTCATATTTGGTGAGAAAAGAACAGGGAAGGTATACTCCATCAAAATACAGTGACGCCGATTACATCCATATGTGTGGTCCTGGCAATCTAGCCATGGTTGTTCTGACACTGCTTGATGTAAGAACACTTAAGTTTTCTGGCAAGACACTATTTCTTAGCTATCAGGGTCGAAGAGGCAGCCAGGGAGGGGCGGGGACACAAACTGCCTGCAAAACTCAACAAGCCATGGGATGTAAAGGACCATTTAGGTGGCACTTTAATGCCAAAACACTAGAGATGGCTAAGAAATCGATCTCTGAAAAAAGCTCTCAGGCATCTCTAGCTGAGGCAGAGGCACATCTGGTTTGTTATAAGGTTGCCTTTTTTGCTATTTCCAGAGTTTTGTATCTGACTGCCCCAATTCATCCTGGTATTTTTTTTTATTTTTTTTTTTTAATGGGAGGGAAGGGGAGAGAGGTGGTTTGCAGCTAAGCAGATCACTGTATTCTGGTTTTAAATCTGTTTTCTTGTACCATCCAATGCATTAAGACCCTGAGTGGAGCTCTCAGACATTTATAAATGTGTGTTTGTATGTGCATAGGGATGTTAATTAGACTTAGCCAAAAGAATAAAAAAAAAAAAAAAAAAAAGAAAAAAAAAAAAGAGAGAGAGAGCAGAACTTGAAATGGTGTTGTTTTGGAGTAAAAGAGCTAGCATTTGGGTTAAAGTAGTTCCTTCATTCAAGAATACAACATCACTGTGTTTGTTTTGTTTGTTTTTTAATTTCATTTTCTCATCCAACATCCCTGCCCCATGCTCCCTCTAGTGTTCTGAGCTATGCATTACATCTACACACGCCTGCTGTATCAACAGAATCACAGAGGTTGCTGCTGAAGCGAGAAACAGAATCATAGAGGTTCATCTAGGTTGGAAGAGACCTCCAAGATCATCGAGTCCAACCTCTGACCTGACACTATCAAGTTCTCCACCAAACCATATCACTAAACTATAAATCTAAATGTCTTTTGAAGACCTCCAGGGATGGTGACTCCACCACTTCCCAGGGCAGACCATTCCAATGCCTAACAACCCTCTCAGTAAAGAAGTTCTTCCTAATATCCAACCTAAACCTCCCCTGGCACAACTTTTGACCATTCCCCCTCGTCCTGGCACAAGGCACATGGTAGGACAGACCAGACCCCACTTCACTACAGCCTCCTTTGAGGTACCTATAGAGAGTGATAAGGTTGCCCCTGAGCCTCCTCTTCTCCAGGCTGAACAAGCCCAGCTCCCTCAGCCGCTCCTCATAAGACTTCTTCTCCAGGCCCCTCACCAGCTTCGTCGCCCTTCTCTGGACACACTCAAGCACCTCCATGTCCTTCTCGTAGAGAGGGGCCCAAAACTGAACACAGTACTCGAGGTGCGGCCTCACCAGAGCTGAGTACAAGGGGACAATCACTTCCCTAGACCTGCTGGCCACACTGCTTCTTATACAAGCCAGGATGTTGTTGGCCTTCTTGGCCACCTGAGCACACTGCTGGCTCATATTCAGCCAACTTATCCACTAGTACTCCCAGGTCCTTCTCCGCCAGGCAGCTTTCCAACCACTCATCTCCCAGCCTGTAGCTCTGCTTGGGGTTATTGCACCCCAGGTGCAATACCCGGCACTTGGCCTTATTGACCTTCATACAGCTGGCCTCAGCCCATCGGTCCGGCCTATCCAGATCCTCCTGCAGAGCCTTCCTACCCTCAAGCAGATCAACACACGCACCTACCTTGATGTCATCAGCGAACTTACTGAGGGTAAGCACTCGATCCCCTCATCCAGATCATCGATAAAGATACTAAAGAGGACTGGCCCTAGTACTGATCCCTGGGGGACTCCACTAGTGACCGGCCTCCAACTGGATTTGACTCCATTTACCACAACTCTTTGGGCCCAGCTATGCAGCCAGTTTTTAACCCAACAAAGTATATGCCAGTCCAAGCCACAAGCAGCCAGTTTCTCAAGGAGAACTGCTATGGGAAACAGTGTCAGAAGCCTTACTGAAGTCAAGGTAGACCACATCCACAGCCTTTCCCTCATCTAGTTAGTATTTAACATAATATTACATTCTTCATTTTGCTGAGAATTTCCATAATTTAGGGGAGAATTACCAAAATTTAGACTAAGTTTTCTGAATATAATCCTCCCTGCAGTGGAAATACAGGCTAAAAAAGCAGAAAGAGAGTGAAGTGTAAAATTAATTCTGAAACAGAACTCTGTACTTTCTTGGTAGGGAAAAGGAAGAACTTGGTGTTGAGAAAGATGAATTTCATTTGCAACAACAATTTTAATCCAAGATTCAAAGGCCAAGAGCAAAAAGGTTAGTTGCACTAAAACACCAATTACATGGATCTTTTTCTACTATTCTCTCTAGCAAAAAGACAAACTCCCTTTAACATATACACATTGATTACTTCAAGCATGTAAAAACCAAGAGGTGAATGAGAAACAGATTTTCTTAGTCATCTCCCCATTTCATGAAATGAAAAAGGGGTAGTTTTCTTCTCACCCTGTTGTGTATCAATAACAGAAGGAGAACACAGAAGAAACTGGATTAACACCTTCTTTAAAAAAGGAATAGAGATGAGTAAGGTCGCTCCGAAAGAATAAAACCTTATGTCCATGCAAGTTTTTGTTTCTTCTGAGTAGCTACAGTTTTAGTATTTATTTTATATTACAAATAGCACCAGCTGAAGAATAGAAAAGACCTAAACAAACGAGAAGATGAAGCAAAACTCTATTCACATCATAGTTGTCGTTTTTTTGGTTTCATTTTTGTGATTTTTTTTTTAATATTTTTGCATCAATTTAAATCTTCTGAAAGCATTCCAGAATTTCAAAACAAATGAGAAATCACATTAATAAAAAAAAAAAAAAGTGAAGCTGGTGCATTTTTCCTGCCTTGCCGTATTTTTCCAGAGGTATATAGAAGAAAAAGAAGAAAACAATTTTGCCACTAGTCATCTGTGATCTTCTATTCATTACATTATATACGTGGCATCATATTGTACCACATGACAGATATTTGCTGCAAACTCTTGTTCTATGGATAACAGAACCAAACCAAAATACTTTAATTGGATTAAAAAAAAAAAAAGAAACTAAAAGCTATTTTAGATCAACTCATGAAAATGAACAACCCTTAATGATATTAAAAAAGATGGTGTACTCAGTCACTGCATAACAGAAAATTCTGCTTTAACTCTAATGTTTCACAAGGATATCAAGTTAAAATTAGAAGGTTGCGACAAATTTGTTAACAGATCACCCAGTCAATCCACAATAAAGGCAGAATCTTCTAGCTGTTCTTCCCCCAGGACATCACAGTTGTCACCTAGCTGTTCATCCACCATTCTATACTAAAAATATTGATTCTAGTCAATCTTTTTTTATACTGACTTATTCATATATTCTACATGTACATGGTTTAAAACATATAGAAGAAATGGTTACTCAATCCAATCAATTTCTGTTCAATGTCTGTTTTTAGTAAGAAGAATGTACATTCCGAGGTCATAAATTAATAAATGATTCTGTGACTCATGTTTGCTTCATTTTTTCTATGTAACTTACAACGTATAAATATCTACTGAAATTAATTCAAACTATTTGATTGTAACAAAGATATCAAATCCTGATTTTCACATAGAATTGGAGCATTCCAGTGACAGAAATACACAACTAGTGTTTTTACCACAACAGTTTTACTCAGAATTCCTAATTATATGTAGTAAGCCTATATTAAATACTTCCTTATGCAGACTTACAGTGCTGTCAATATATGCTTCAGTCCATACTACATCATGCTCTTGGTCAATAACCTTTGGTCGGCTAAGAACGTGGAGGTATTCCATGACATTCTCTTGAACATCAGCTAAGGTAGAAATCTGAGTAAAAAAGCCTGTGAAAACACACAATTTGAAGTTATAAACCAGGCAGAACAAATTAAAGAAGATTTCAACAAGAAGTATGATATGTTATGTCTTTTTTTTTTTTTTGTCTTTTTTTTTCTGCTTCTTTATTTGCAAAGGAGAAATGCAATGAAGGAATGTTTTATGAGAAGCAGCCCCTCAAGCAGTAGTAACCAGTGAAAGAGATCTGTAAAACTCTCAGACATTCTTGGAGAGCAAGTTTCCCCAAACTGCTATAAATCACTGCATGGCCTGTCCCAAACTCTCTATTTCCAGAAAACTTTTGTTGCTTGATGGTAAAGAAGTTTGGGTATTTTTTGTTTCTAAATGGTGCACACTTTAAAAATACAAACTGGTATCAATACCTTTGTACAAAAACATCTCATCCAAAGTTTGTCTGGTTTCAAGCAGCATTACTGATTAGAACTACAGACACAAAACAGTAGCTGTCAATGTTCTAAAATGCTCATCCTTGTAGAATGTTACTAAACCTCAGATAACAGCAATAGGTTATTTTCCCAGGTCACTGGGAATGGAGACTGCAACTAGAATTGCTTGACTAAGTATTCACAGCTTTATTAATCCTTTGAAACATCTCCTACAAACTGAGAACACTGAGAACAGCAGAGGCCACAGCTGTTTGAGGTGTCACCACTTCCTTACCATTGCTTAGACGTCAATTACCTTTACAACACAGTGACCTTGGCATCTGGAGCCCACATCATGAAAGGGTTACAAAGGACTGACAGATTTCAAGGTTATAGTTCCATCAGGCCTTACTTAACTGCATCAAATGTCCTTAGTATAAATTCATTTCCTTTAGTGAGAAAAGAACAATATGGAATTTTCATGAAAGGTCTCGATGCAATTTTAGTCTTTTGATATGATCATATCTTCTGTGGAGCTGCAGTATCAAGCTTCAGCAGAAAACTTGGCAGCTTGAAAGAACTTTTGAGCTGTGTTTATTATAAACAGGGCCAGGCCTGGCAAGGTTGCAAGGGTGCTCTGTGGTCTGAAAGCTAGAACTTTCTGATTTGGTACATTTGCCAATAATTTGTGCAGTACAAAACTGATGTTTCTACATAAATTCCATCTCATCCCAGCCATAGATTTACATGTATATATTAAGACACAGTGTAAGGACAGACTTAAGGGCAGAGATCTATAAAATGACAATTCATATAAGTTGTTTAATGAATATTTTCAACTCAGTAAGAAAAAAGTTTTTTCTCATAATCAAGTTTACTATACTATCAAGTCAGATATTCATAGTATAGTAGTATAGTATTCAAACTCATCGTGTACTACATACTATGCTCGTAATACAGCATACAGTATACTGTTCAAATATTCAGGATTCTACTTAAAGGATTTTATTTAAAATTTATTTTTTTCTGTTAAGTCTAGTATTATGTGAGGAGGTTAACTGAATGCTAAACATAATATTAAGGCAAGTGTTTTTTTTTTTTGCCTCAGGTTTTGAAAATATTTTCTGACAGAGTAAATTGATTGACATAAGCTTAATTAGGGAACCTGTACTTGAAAAAGCGGAATTCTATGTATGAATTCAGTTCCCTGTTGAAAATAATAAAAAATACATATATAGCATGATTTTATGAATTATTGCCTTAGAACACTTATGAGAAAATGCAATGTTTAAATTACTCTTCCTGAAATGCTGCCTCCTCCAATTTTGTCACTGCTGAGACTCCCAAATCAAAATGTGTGGGTAATAAGGGATATTTCACTATCTGGTCCTTTTCATTTGGTGTAAATGAATGAAAATACAAGCTATTCACGTAACTTTATAACATACATATACACACATATGTATGTATATTTACACACTGTGGCTTATAAACCTTTCAGTCAAGGATTCAAAATACACTAGAACTGTGTGGACTCCTCATTTTACAGCAGGTGATCTACACTTTCCTTACAGCAGTTCTGAGTGTCTGAATTCTGGTATGCCTCATTTCAGAAAGCTCAAAAGAGAACCAATATTGGAAGCCATTTGTTCAGCATTGTTCACATCTCAAATTACATACTCAAAAATCAAGGTCACTCACAAAAAATCAGAAAAATAAAGCAGAGGCAAAAGTAGACTACTAAGCCTTTTGCCTTTCTTCCTTCTACTTAAAATAGTGTACAGTGTCTGCAAATCAGGATTCAGATCACTAAAAGGAAAGAGCACACAAAACACTGCTCATTTATTTGTGGGAGACGTGCAACAGGGGACCTCCAGTTATGTTCACCTCTCCTGTTCTCCTGCTACCAAATACATACTTTCAATTGTTTGTTCCAGTGTTTTCTATGCAATTTTATATCACCACTCCAGTATTATTTGTTCTGTTTAGCTCATGAACTTTTCAGTACTGTCCTGGTTTCAGTTGGGATAGAGTTGATTTTCCTCCTCGTACCTGGAATGGTGCCATGTTTTGGATTGGGATGAGAGGAGTGCTGATAACATGCTGATGTTTTAATTGTTGCAGAGCAGTGCTTACACCAAGCCAAGGACTTTTCAGCTTCTCGCTTCGTCCTGCCAGCGGGCAGGCTAGGGATGCAGCAAGAGCTGGGAGGGGACAGACCCAGGACAGCTGACCCAAACTGGCCAAAGGGGTATTCCATACCATCTGACATCATGCTGAACAATATATAGGGGTGGCTAGCTGGGGTGGCAGACGCCGGACTGCCAGGGCTAGGTTGGGCATCGGTCAGCGGGTGGTGAGCAATTGCACTGGGCATCACTTGTTTCACATACATTATTAGTAATAGTACTATTATTATTATTATTATTATTATTATTATTATTATTATTATTATTATTTTCCTGTCTTAATAAACTGTCTTTATCTCAACTCACAGGCTTCACTTTCCCGTTCTTCTCCCCCATCCCAGAGAGGGAGTGGGGAAGTTGAGCGAATGGCTGTGTGGTGCTTAGCTGCTGACCGGGTTAAATCACAACAAGTACATATCATGCCAATATTTGCACTTCTCTTACATCAGTGTGCAATGGAACACTGTAAATGGAGCAGAGATCTGCTTGCACTAAGTATTGTACAGTGAACAAAGTAGTAACACGTGTACTTATTCCCTTAATATATATTAAATAATGTCTAAAATGTCAGAGCAGATTAACTGCTTGAAAAATTGGCATTGCATCTAAGGCGATGAAAAGGTCATTTTTAATCAAACAGTACTTTCACACCCATACATGTTGAAATCAGTTAGTTAACACTTTTTAATGTCATACTTCAATTAAATTCAAAACCTCAAAGGCTCATTTAAAAAACACTTGTCTATGCCTGGAAATTTGTTTAATCACAGTTTATAAGTTACTTTTCAGATAGAGAATACCTTGCTGGAATTTACTCTGATTGCGTCCTGAAAGTTTTAGTGTCAGTTTTTCAAGTGAAAAAAATAGTTTGGTAACACTTCAAAGTCTGATACACATTACAAGACACTGATAATAGTGAACATTGTAGGGTTTTTGGTGGTGGTGTGTTATTGTTTGTTTAGAAGAGATCCATCTGGACCAAGAACAGCCAACTTGAGCAGACACCTACTTAATCAGTTTATTCACAAGTATTGTTAATATGGATGGATATTACATTAGATATTTCTCCTTGTAGTGTTTTTAAGAATTCATTTTCTCATATCTGATATAACACCTGACATAATATCACAAAACTCTCCAGGCAGCATGTTACATTCAAAGTATTCATTTCTTGCTGTAGTACTTGCAAAATGTATCCCTAAACTGCACAATAGAGAGAACAATTTCTTATCCCTATTTCCTAAGACTAACAGAGATAATGATTCAGTCTCTGTTATTCTGAATCAATTTTGAACAAACTTGAAGAAATAAAGGTCTCAAAGACAAATGAAAATTTGTGGCTCTGCCCAGATTGAAAGTAACATTGAGCATCCTGTTTGAAAGGAGCCAGATGGTAAATCAGCACATGTATACTGGCATGCATGTAGTTGCAGGCTAGCTATGCAGTGCTCCTTGCCAGAGAGTATGACAGAGAGTATGACAGCTAGAGGAGTCAAGGTTAGCAAGTGGAGGAAAAAGAGTTTAGTGTGAAAAAAAAAATAAATAAATCATTTCTGTATTTCACAGATCATATATCAGGCTGCAACAGAAGGAAAGTTGAAAGAAAGAATGTTAAAGACTTTATTCTTTTTAATTGGTTAGTTTCAAATAACTAAGATTAAAGAAATGTAAGAATTGCTGCTAAAGATATGCAAAAGACAAGTCTTAGATGAAGATGGTGTCAACCATATGGATTCTCTCTAGGTCTTTTATAATGTGATCCCAGGTGTGAGTTTCATTTTCAATCTTTGCAAAGTTCCTTGAAGATTTAGTCTGTTTAAATATGGTTTGTATCCTTAAAAATATGGTTTGCATGCTTTTGTAATTCACATTAGGAAAACTTAACAAAGATTTTATCATTTCCATGAGTCATTTAATATGAAGTTAGCTATCTTTTATGAATTTATGGTTCATCTATTTACTTATTTCTATAAAAGGTTGTTTTCCTATTGTTTTAGCCTCTATTACAGAAAAGAGAAAGAAATTGCAAAAGCTACACAAATTACCTTTCCCATATTTTGATGCTTGTTCTAATATTTGGTTTTGGACTTTCTCCTGTTGAGAAAACTCCACCAAAAGTTACTATAGCATAGCTAGAGACAGCATTGGGTAATATTCTTAGTTCATTTTCCCTGGTACATTTAGACATGTTGATGATTCATGTGTTCATAACTGTGTGTAACAAATGTCAAACCTCACAGGAATTAGCTTCCTAACACTGATAAATTAAACTCCTATCCAGAGATCAAATGGGTTTAAAAACCTTACTCTTCCTATACCAAGGTTTTATCATCAGATAAAGACATGCTCTGAAATTCTGAGCACAGTTGCTGAGGCCATGTAAACAACAGCAGCAAACCTGTGCTTAAATTTTTGCATTCTAACACCTGCTTCTTAGTTCCCTGGTGTGTGAATTATGCTACCCCACAGCTCCTTGCAGTCAGCACTAATTTTTGTCCCCAGCAAGAAAAACTCGTGAGGGAAATGAGTAAGATTTGGTAATGACAAGCATGAGATACATATAACAATGTAGTTAAACACAGACGCTTATGCTCTGCCTTTCCATATTACACAGTCCATTGCAGTTTTTGGATAGATTCCTTTCCTCTAAAATGTCCACCATTAGACATGGAACTTTTAAAAACGCCTCCGAAAGATTTTTTTTTTTAAACAGAGTGCAGCACTTTTCGTTTTCTGGGCACATGTAGAATAAATGCATTATTGCAACTAATAAAACATCAGAATTAAAAAAAAAAAATCCTCTTTGCATAGGGACTGAGGGGGAATTCATTGTTTCACTGCAGCTGTAAAGCTCCCATGGAGAATTCACCCCCTCCTCCTAAGAGGTCTCTCAAGCAGGTGAACAGTATCTGTAGCTGGCTGCCTGCCACTCCCCACAATAGCCCAGAGTGCAGGAGGTGCTGGGGTCATGCTATTAGTGGGAATGGATGTGACTGGGGCTTCCTGTAAGCAACTCTTCTCTGCTAATACAATAGTCTATAAACTGCTACAGCTGGGGCACAATTTGCCTCAGGGCTGATCTGTCCTCTGCTGGCAGTTAGATAGCCACTATCAGACCTCTGATATGCAAAGCATTTTTTCTTCAGTGCTTTCCCAGCTTCTGCTCCTTTGTACTGATGAATCCCCTCCTTTGTCCATTTTGCAATATGCCAGCCGCAGCAATGCTGGGTAATTAATAAACATTCTGAACAGAGGCTGTCAAATTGCTAATGCATAGAGAAATTTCCTGGGGAGTGGGGGGCATTTAATGCCGTCTGTTTTGTTAGTCAGTAACACATTAACTCCCATCTTTCTCTTACAGCTTTCTACTGGAAGTGACTGCTGAGGGAAAGGTAGTAAGTGCTTACTTTAAAATCTGGCACATGCATGCTGTGCGTTTAGGAAAATCTTATTTTTGTTCACTTGAGGATGTTAGTAAATCTTAATTCTTTTCCTTCATGTACACCGTTTCACGATACAGAAGACTGAATCATTGCAAATTGCACAAACTACTCCACAGGGTCACTGGGGCTCCTGAATGTTTTAATGTATTTAAAATGGTTTGGCGTTTTGCTTCATCAAGTGAACTCCCTCTAAATATGCCCTACTTATACACAGAAATGTAACAGAAAAAGGGGAGGGGTGAAGTTATGTTGTTGAAGGTTTCACCACCAGAATCTAGAAGCTAAATATGTTTTGCAAGGTGGTATAAATTTCCCCTGTGACCCTTTTTGATGGAAAGGACTGCTGTCCACAGTCCAGTCAGCTGTAAAACCTGCAAACAGCTTTCATCTATGTTGTGCTTCCAAGGGGAAAATCACTGCAAGGAAAATTGATTTTAGGGTCATTGACCCTCAGTGACAACAACATACTTTGGCCCATCCATGCAAGTAGTAAACTGCAGTCCAGCCATATAGCCAATCTTTAGACCAGCTTTACTACACTGCTCATCTGTCTGCGCTGTAATCCCTCCTTTCACTAAAAGAAAATGGGTGAGCTCTAGCTAAAAATTGTAAAGGAAAAAACTCTAAATCCATACTGCCTGACATGACTATTTATGCTGAATCCAATTATGATTTTCAAAGCTGTAAGAAAGCATTTATATACTAATTAGAGGTAAAAGACTTTTTGAATTATAAGCTACCAGAAAGCAGGTATTGTACCTACTAAACAGTTAAAAAAAAAAAAAAAATGTATAGAAGAAACAGTCATTAAACTGCATCAAACTGTTTAGTTGATCTACTTTGTAAGATTCTAACTGGAAGCAACATGGCTCTGAAAAGAACAAAGTAGTCCTGAAGAATGACAAAGGTGACCCCTCTGAGAATAAAGACATGGACCAGATGATCTAGTGAGGCAGTCTCTATTGCCTGGTCCTAATTTCTGAGTTTCTGTACTTAGATCTTTATGAATCTGAACAGCAGGGCTAAAAAGCTAAAAGATTTTGTTGATTAAATTGCCTTCAAAAAGATGCTTCAAAGGATTCTTATACTATTACTTAAACTAAATTATGTTGTAATATTAGCTGATTAAGACAAGACTTCAAACTAAGTAATTTCCATCAGCTGGACATAACAGTAGTTAAAGAAATAATGACTAAATGGATAGCACCTGATGCAATTCATCATAATATAATGTGACACAAAGGAAGGTTTTTCTGTTGTTGTTTGTTTTGTTGTTGTTTTTTTTTGTTTGGTTTTTGTTTGTTTGTTTTTTGTTTTCCAAGAGAAAAGGAAAACCTGAAGAGTAATTAGTTTTTTGTGTGCACTTTTTTTTTTTTTAACCTCTGAATCATTCTTACTTATTTACTTATATTAGTCAATCATTTTACTGTAGCATCTCAGCATCTTACATGTTTTAATGCCCCTTCTTACAGAATATAAACCTGTTTTTTCAATTACACTGTCAGCTCCTCAAGGGACAGGATGTCTGGTGTTTTACATGCCACGCCTAACTCAACAGGACTCACACCCAGTGTTCTTAGGTACCAAAGTAACTGTGACCAAGTAGTAACAGCTACAACAGGACACCCAATTTGAAAGTAAGGTTTGGTCTCTGAACTAAAATTTAAGACCACATCTTAAAAAGATTCAGATGTTTTAAAAAAGAAAATATATTTTAAATTACATGCTATGGATAAATAAGTTTTTTTCATCCTGGAAAAAAACAACCCATCCTCTTTGATTAGTTGTCAGTGGCACTGTACCTGTAAAACAGGTCAATTATTCAGGAAGACCCAGTGATACAGTTTTGAAAGCAAGGCTTTCACAGTTGAAGGTTAACTAACCTTTGTTAGCACAGGCCATCCACTTCAGGTTATCAGCAAAAGCAGCTTCTCTTCCGATCAGATAGGTAAAAATACGAACCTGAATATACAATGAAGAGATCAAGTCAATTAATGCTGCAGCCACTTAAAACCTACACAGTGGAACTTCCCATACAGATATGCAGTTCAGGTATGGATAGACCCTTTTTAAGAAAGTATTACTGCAAGTAATGTCTTCATGGTGAAATATGGCTTTTGTTCGATGTAACAGAATGGCTGATCTCTTTTGATGTTTCTAATACCTGACACGTAACAAACGTTTAGGTTACATGGCTGAAGTATAAGTGAGAATAAACTAAAACCATCAGAGTACATGACAAGACAGTGTTTTAGGCAAATCTGTTCTGCATTTATGAATTCAGAAAATTGCTGTGGTGTGGAAGAAGAGGCAGAAATAGTAAATGCTACTATGGAAGAATCTGAAACTCCAGGCAAGCCAATTCCCATCGGTTTTCAAAATTCATATGCCATTGTCTCCTGTGTCAGCCTAGAGGCAGGTACCCACAGGTGGTACTTGTGCTATCATCAAGTGATAAATTGAAGATTCGTGTGCAGGGTTGCGACAATTCCAGATAAAAGCATCTGTGCAAAGAACCACGCCACTGGGCTATGCATGTGCGTGCGCAGATATACACAAAGGGACATCTGTTCAGAGATCCTGCAAATGCAAAATATTTGCCTCATATCCCCTTTTCTCTTCAGATAAACATACATGTACGTTAAGGAGTCCTTCCAATCAAGCAGATCAACCACAACTTTATTGTATTTACTGCAAAACAGTATCTGTCTCATCTGTGTATGCTGACTCTATCCTACTTTCTTTTAACAGGAGTGGGTGAATTAACATGAGCTAATGTTATTTTTGGTAATGTGGACAGAAATAAATAATGCTAAAATACCTGCACATTGACCTATACTATCTCTGCTAAATGATTTTCACTAACACAGCACACTGATATCAAACTCCATGATAGTTTTTGCAATGTGATGCTCTTTATACAGCCCCTGAAATAAACTGACTTAAATCCAAGATTAGCGTTAAGGATTTGTCTTTCAGGTTTGATAGAAGCTCAGACATAGAATTTGGACATCTGAAAGATTTATTTTTTTTTTTTGAAGGGTATCATGGTCATTCCCAGTCATAGTCTCCCATTATCAGATATTTCTAGCAAATACTCTATTTTTTTCTTCTCAAAACATTACACTTGTCAAGTTTGTCCAAAATAAAACTTTAAAGTACGTGGCATACTATCTGGGAGGTAATAGTCTTGTACTCCTGCTCTCTTTTTTTTCTTTTCTTTTCCTTTTTTCCTTTGATCTTCTTGTTAGCATTATTACTGTTTTGTGGCTTTTTCATGACCAAGATTAGCATCAGTTTTATACCTACTGTGATACTGCTTGGAGAACACTGTTCTGCAAAAAAGATCATCAGTTACTCATCTCTAACATCTGTGAGTCTACAGATATAATTTGATATGGGCCATAGAACGCACAACACAAAAGGAAACTTTTTCCAGGATGCAGATAAAAAACCCTACACAAGAAATAACGAGACTTCAGGTATGAGACCTAAAACTTTGAAGATTTGTATGGTATTATATAGCTTTTATTGTTTTTGTTTGTTTGTTTGTTTTTGTTGTTTTTTCTGTTTGTTTGTTTGTTTTGGGGTGGTGGTGGTGTTTGTTTTGTTGTTGTTGTTTTTTTTTTTTTTTAACTGATATACAATTTAATGTTTTTCTGTACCAATATTAAAAATGCTTGAGGGCTGGAAAAAGTAAAGCTAGTACATAGCAGATTATCCCCTTGCAATCTTCAATCTGGCCTGGAAATTTCAGAGGAAATTAGATTTATATAATTAAGGCCATGACTTCCAAGACATTAGCAGTGTCAGAATGGATACAGGGAGACATGAAAGGAAATGTTGAAGAAAAAAAAAATCTGAGAAAGGTTATTTGGCTCTGGCCCAATAACCTAAAAGAAGACTTGCACTTAACTGAATTGTGAGAGAAATAAACAGCTTTTTTTCAGGAGTATAGGATGATTTCTGAGGAGGAAATTACTCTTTCAGTTGGTCAGTATCAGTTATGTGCCCTGTTGCAAAATGCAAAAATGGTTTTCACATTTTAGATGTGAGAAAAAGCAGCACTGTGTGCAAAGATTGTGACCAGACTTTTAAATTCCTTTAAAGACATCTCCAGCAATAGCCTTACACCAGAGAAACAATTCTGATTTTTATGAATAAGTGCATTCACACACACAAATGCATGCACAATTCTCATCTGAAAAGCACAGTAGCAGACAGATTGTTCAAGACCTGAATAAAATCCATCTAGAGCTATTTGTTACAAGAATAAGTTGCTCATTAATTGCCTGAAAGTAGGAAGAGGAGCATCCGCTTGTTATTATTAGGAGAAATACTGTTTTGAAGAAAAACTGAAGGCTACCCGAACATCCTGGACAGAACAAACACCTCACGAAGTCATGGGGCACCCCAAGCTAGGGGAATGGCCCATGCAGGGCAAGGCCACTTCTCAAGGGGACCTCAAGATGCTGAAGGCCTGGGCTGACAGCATCTTCATAAGGTTCAACATGAAAACGTCCTGTATCTGGCACAGAAAAACAAAACAAAACAAACAAACAAACAAACAAAAAAAACAGCACAGGTAACAGGGAGATGGTTAGAAAGCAACTTTACAGAAAACTGCCTTGGGTCCATGGTGAACAAGAAGCAGGGAGCCCCTGAGGCAAAAGAGGTCAAGTTCATACTGGGCTGTATAAGCAAGCTGTACACCAGTGAGATTATTCCTCTCTATTCTGGAGTAATGTCACCCCACTACACACACCAGTTTTGGACTCCCCTGTACAAGACAGACACTGACTCACTGACTCATTCTCCTTGAATGCAGCCTCTAAGATGGCAAGGGGGAAAAGTCAGAACAACAGAAATTCTGAAGAGTTTTAAGGAAAAACCTTTTAATTATGAGTGTAATAAAATATAAGAAGACATTGTCCAGAGAATTTGTAGAACCTGCATCCTGGGAGATATGCAAGATCTGGCCAGACGAGTTCCTGAACAGAGTAATCTTATTTCACCTTCTCTGAACAAGTTTATTTTCTACAGAAGTTTTAAAATGTACTTGGAGGATTTCTCTCTTTATTCTCAGTTGTGATACTATAGTCCTCATTGTCCCCTTTTCAGTTTTCGTAATGGCCAAATCCTTTCTAGGCATACAGTGTCTTGCATTATTATTTTGCCTAAAGACAAGACTTCAATCACAAAATCTTCTCCAGTCTTTCAAAGATAAAATGTAATAGAATTCAATCATGATTTATATTTATGTCATTTTAAAAAAGATATGCACTGTGTAGAGTAGTTAATTAGTTTGAATTAAATAGTATGCATAATCCGACTAAGAGTCTAGAGGACACAGCATTAAAGAATAGTACTTTCATGCTTTGTTGATAGCTACCAAAACCATTAATAAAAAAATCTTTATTTTCTAAACACAAGTGAAAGGGCACAGTGAGATTCATACACTGAAAATATAGCATAAATCACTGTCACAGTTTATCTTTCTGAAAATAATGCTAGAATATAGCCTATGATGAGACTGAATACATCTGAGAGATTTATATCTAATGATCTGCTTTAATCTATACAGAATCAAAAGACACTGTGCTCCTAATAAAAGGAGACCAGCCTTATCTAAAAGAATGAGTGGTAAGCATGATAATAGGTCTAGGCAGCAACCAAACTGCATTAAACCTACAAATAATAAAATTTCAGGAAATAGGTATCATAGATCATTATGAAGAATGGACTGCCTCTGTGATACTGTTGCAAGGATTTTAATGATTTTTCTCTGAGTGCATTTTAAACATATAGTTTATTTGGTATCTGCAGTTTCTCTGGAAGTTATTTAAAGCATCATCAGAAATACTGCTAATTGGTTGGCATTACTTCAAAAATATAAATAAAACCTATAGACAGCTCACACTGAAGATGAGTGATCATTTCATTAAATGCTCTTATATTTCCTTATCCCAATGAGCTTTGTATTTTTCTCTATTCTCTTTTCGCTGCAACATTATATAAATGGCATTTACTAGGTCTACCATAAAGTACAAAATCTTCTGTAAAAAGAAATATGTGTTAAGCTATATTTTTAAAATGCCATCTCTATACTGTTCATTACTTAATAGAGTGACTTATTATTTATAGTAATACAAGTTCCCAAAGGTATTCCAGTTTAAAAAACAAACAAACAAACAAACAAACAGAGATATTGAAGTTTACCTTTCTTTGATGATTTTAAAGATACATTAATGGGTTTTATGGATATTGTTTAATTCTCCATTCAGGATAGTGAGAAAAATTCCCAAAATCAGCTCCTATAGCAAACAATTCTGATTATTAACCTACTTCTAAAAGTTTCATTGATCAGTTCATTGAATCCACCAGTGGAAGGTTAATCCTCTGTGGGCTTGCAGTGGGAAACACTCATGCATCCCTAACCGTTCAGAGTAGAATCAGTTTTACAAAACAAAGCTTGCCATGTCGCTTTCTGCTGTCTGAGATCACAGGAATGACTTAGGTAATAAATGAAGTCAAAACTGAAACTTTCCGGAGTAAGTCTAGAATCTAAATCCCATTTTTCAAAAACAAACTTGGCTCTACATACCTTTTTTATACTGGTTTTACTGTTTTGAATAGGCATAAAGATAAATCTTACGTAATAATTCTAGATGCACTGTTACAGACCCATTGTATGATACCAATAAGCAGGGAAAAAGCTACTGTGATCACAAAACTTCTTTTCTGTATCTATGTAAAAATATAACATAAGTCAACAGTACAGCATTACTGCATTACCACTGAAAGATAAGTTCTAATTACTTCAACTTCTGCATGTGGACAAGGCCTACACAGTGATGGGTTTACATACGGAATCGCAGAAGCACCTCGGTTGGAAGAGACCTCCAAGATCACCAAGTCCAACCTCTGACCTGACACTATCAAGTCCTCCACTAAACTATATC